ATCCTAAGGAATTTTTCGTTATTCTAAAGCCGAAACAGGTTGAAACGCATTGGTCAGAGGGAGGAGAGGTGGAAAGCCATCACATGGCCAAATATGTGAATGGGATAGAAGCGCTTGAAATCCTACGGATTATGCGAATGAAGTTGACCTGTATGGCGAGTTGGCGAATTTTAGCACCCAGATGTTTGGTGTTGAATACTTTCGCTTTGTGCCAAGTAGATTTTACAATTATAAATTCTTTGGGTGTCATACGTCGTGATAAGTAGTCATATCGTTGTGTTGATAAGCCAACGCACATGTTTGATTTTATTATTTCGAATATCTGAGTCATCGGTTGATAATTCTTGATTTCTTAGCAATTAGGGAACCGATATAAGGAACGATAGAATGATCTGAAGTGATCAGTCAAAAGAAACTGTCTCGAGAACAAGCAATTTATTGAACCTACCATATTCCATGCTTGTTCCAAGTTTTCATTCAGAGCATCAGTACCATGAAGGGTTGTTCGCATTGATTCCTTGAATGCGCTGTGAAACACCTTAGGATATGATCAATGTTATTGGGCAGTGTTATTGTTATTATTGTTATTGTAACTGTTAATTAATTTTATTACTATTAATTAATGACGATAATGTTATTATTATCGTTACTGCTAATTATTGTTATTGTCACCTTATTAATTTTATTGTCATAATGTGACTTTTATTATCATAACATCGAGAATCATTTTTACGACATTGTTTATGTAAATGCCAATTATTACTGCAGTTCCGTTTCGCACCTTAACAGAGCCGCACAATTTCAGTCTAATCCGACACCGGAACGTAGGGAAATAATTTGAGATCATGATTAATCGTTGTTTGACACATCGCCTTCGATTTTTATGATTTGACATTTTATGACATTGTTTATGTGAAGGTATATTGCTCAGATGACGACAAAACCGGTTGATTTATAAAATTTTCGATGGTTTTTGATTAGGAGAATATACCACGTTATGCGCATTGGTCTGACAATCTTCATTTAATCTGTCATCTTATCGTTTACCCTCTATCGTCTTTGGAATAATCGATTTCGTGCCAAGCTAAGCTCTTCTTCATCATGCGCAGATTTCCTATCGTCTTTCCAGTCATAATGTTTCAGCAATTTTCTTAACTTCATCGGATTGCTCTGTGGAATGGTAGAGCGATGCAATGTTCTGTTTCGAGAGACAGTCTCATTGCGCTAACACTATTTTAGAGCATGAATATTCATCAGTTGAAATAATTTTCGTGTTATTTTCCTTCTGCTGTTACGCTTTTGTTTATTATCACTAAACTCAATGATGATCGTTTTTTGAGATAGTTGATATTGGACAAGGCAGATTTGACCACACCTTTCCATTAATTTCAACAATTGCGCAGAATTTTTCACGCTCAATCTCGAATATCATTTTCATTTGAATGAATTTCGACTGAATATCATCAAATCTGAAATGACAACAGTAAAAAATCCAACTGAAGGAATTCCACCTCAAAATGCGGTTCGCATACATCGTAGAAGAAATGATTAACTCCAAGCTGTTGAAGTAGGGCATCGCGACAGTCCGGTTCATCGAGATTCTCCATTATCGCATTCATTGCCGCGAGAACATTTTCGCAATGTTGACTGAAATTCGAAATTTCGTTTTTTAAGAATCCTTCTGAAATGTGAGCACATATGATGAAAGAAAAGATGTAGAGAATCAGGAGAAAAGGCGTCAGAGTAAGCAAAACCATGAAATATACAACTAACATGAATCTTTTATCATTTCTGATTCTACCAATGCATGATTCCGATTTATCGCTGAGATTCCTTGCGAAACACCAAATTGGTCGAAGATGCTGATAATTGCTCAGTATTTGTAGAAATGTGTTTTGAATGACGGTCATCTGAATTCCACTATATTCATTTGCATTTCATAAATGCAGAAGACTATTGTAAGGATAACACGGGATAGAATGTGCATCGAGCTTACAGCACATCACTAGACCCGAATCTATTAGATTTAACGATTATGACTGGTAATGGCTTTGGCACTTTGCAAAACTGGTGATTATGTTAAGTCCTAGACGAAATTGAATCACTGGACCTGCATATTCATTTTGAACAATTGTATCCAATGGGCTCTTGCTATTTGAGGATCGTCCAGCTCGAGAATTTCCTCGCCTTTACTCCTATCTCGTGCGCATATTTCGATTGAGTCATGCTCATCGATAATACTTTTGCATATGTTCGTGCTTATTCCATTGTTGCGTTGGCGACGAAGCTTAAAGATTTCATCATTTTTTAATGCATTTGATATCACGATGATAAGAATTTATTTTTGTTTAATACGGAAATTTCGAAACGAACTACATATAAGCATTTCATGCTTTTATGTTTTGATTCGATCATAAATAATAGTAATGCAGCATTTTCACTTTTTATTCAGATTGGTTCTCAACAGGCCCACTATTATCCTCATCGATACGGATGCATAGTAGTTCCGTATCGCTCAGTCTCCCTTGATCTGTAGTTGAAATCACCAGAAATCCTTTTTGTGTGATTGAGGATGAGAAGCTTACCATGTACGGAGAATTAAGGATCGCTTCTGCTTTACTGATCACTTCTTCGACTGTTGTTTGAACAAGCTGAAATCTTGATTTTAAGCTGGAACAAGCTGGATCAAATCAAATCTTTTGAATGATCAAATCTTTTGAACAAGCTGGATTTTTCAATAGAATATCTTATCTCGCATTATTTCGGCAAGTCCGATGGTTTAGTGTTTGTCCGGAATATCCGCAGACATTTCCGGAGATGAATGGTTCGGATGTAAATGTTGGGACTGGAAGAGTGAGACCTTACCTGTCTGATTTCGGCTTCCATCTTATCACGGCAGTAGTTGTATTAATAGAACCGAGAAATATTCGAGATAAGATGCTAGAAGCTGCAAACGAGTAACGTGCAGTCGGTCGCGTACGAATAGGAGGGCATCTTCATATCAAAGGGTATTTTATCCAAGCTGAAAGCCTTAATAGCAACTTTGACGACATCCGTTAATTCAGCACTTATACATCATTTTACGTTTAAGAATCAATCCACTAATATCCCTCGTAATGCGCTCTTAATTGCTTCATCAGATCGCTTGAATCGACCAAATGTCCACTAATGGACTTTCTTCATTAATTTGCTGTTATTAGATCTAAAGTCAATTATAATGATCTCTCGATTGATAGTCACTTAAATAACTGAGAGTCAAGTATATGGCTGAGAGTACATTCATGTTTCGAAATATTTGAAGCCAAAAGTCGTCAAGACAGTTTCAACATAATGATTTGTTCATATGAACCAGGAAATATTGTCTATGCTCGCGTGCTAATCGTCTGCCACTCATTCAAATGTGTTTGAACACCAATCCAGCAGTTTTTTAGATTTGTGTTTACAAATGGCAATGGCAATATTTTCAGATGAAATGTCATCAGATTCGCGGTTTGCACAGTGAAAATGTGAAATGATTAGTGAAAGCAAACATAAGATGGTTTTTTATTTGAAATTAGTCTGCAAAATGGTTAAACGAAACCAAGTCAGCTGCACTCAGCATTGATGATGTTAAAAA